TAATCTGAATATCATTATATAATCTAGATATCTCTATATAGTTTGAATAGCACTATATAATCTAAGTACTACTATATAATCTAAATAATATAATCTAATAAACAGTATATAATCTAAACATAGAATCTAATTACTACTATATAATCTATATATTTTCTATATCAGATATCTATTTTTTGTTCTGGCTATCTCTTTGAACTTTTTCTGATATTTATATTTTAACACCATATGATCTAACTACTACCCACTATTTAATCTAACTACCAGCATATGATCTAAATATTGCTATTTCCTTCTTGTTCCTAATCTATTTATACGTCAAATTCTATATTGTTTATACTGGTCTTCTGTACCTGTTTGGATACCCAGTTCTATGTTGAGAGTACTGGTTCTCTGTACCAGTCTGGATGTTGGATTCTATATTAAGGTACTTACCTTCTGTGCCTATTTTGTTGTCTGTCAAATACAAAAAAAAATATCACGTCAGATGACACAGTAAATTCATAGTTAATTTTGACTAGCTCTATGGCATAATTCTGGCTAATCTTTAGGACATGTAATTTGAGGATCCAACTAGCACCATAATAGTGACCTGATAGTGTTTAGAACTATCATAGCACTGGCAAGAAACTGGTAGGGAACCAGAAAGATTCTATTAGTTTGCTAGTTTCAGATTACTTCTTGGTTGACAAGTTATTGTAGTGAGATATTATATAATAATATCCCACTCCCTTCTTTACCTGTTTGGATGCCTGGTTCTATATTAAGAATACGAGTTGTCTATACCTCTTTTAATTCCAAGTTTTATACCATAGTTACTGCATCTCTGCACTTGTTTGGGTGCCAAATTCTATATTGAGGTGTTTACCTTTTTGCATCTGTTTGGTTGTCTCTGCTAAAGCTAACTTAGCCTGCTTTTTCTGATGGTACTGTTCTCTTTTATGGTGCTTTCTAGCATGTGGATCGCAAAATCTATATTCAGAATAAGTTTGTTTACCGCATTCAATACAAGGTATATATGAGGAAGCTGCTTATGATTATACTGCTATATATTTATATGTTTTTGATGCTCTGTGGCCTTTTGATTGCCAGGATGAGATAACCCACTCAAGTGCAACTTTTTTTTTCTTTCCTATATATAATTCTGCTTGAGTGGATTACCAAAAATTCGTACATTTTAGGTTTTAGACTTTGTTTCTGCATAATTACTACTTCGAAATATTATACTAATTGCTTTGAAGTATTATTTAGTATATTTATTGCATACTCATGCTAGTATTCAGATTAGAAGCCAAATAAAGCTTTACGCATTTTTATTTCATTTCTAAATCATACACATTACATTTTTTATTTTGAAGATTTGGGAATTTTTATATAAATTTATATTAGTTTCTTCTGTATACTATCATATTGCCTGTACAAAAAAAATCTGGGCCTAATCTCAGCGAAATAAATGAAGCAATTAGGCTCTTCTCAGGGTTAGCGGACCTTGACTATGAGTCTGGCTATCATGATCATATGTATTTCAAATATTTGTCTATTAGTAAAGATGATATTGCTCTTCTAGATACCTATTATCCCAAAGAGATTTATTCAAAATATATAATCCGAGTATCAGAAAAGGGTTTTACAGTTGTTGATCATCTATCCGAAGTTTATAGGATACCCGATGCTCATGAATATATTGATGGGAGTCTGCCTCTTTGCCTAGTTCTGGACATCGACGCAAAGCAAAAACCTGATCCTATGAATCCCAAACACCCTTCCTTAGATGAATATAAAATTTCTCGTGAAGATTTATTATCCAAAATCTTAATTGCCTGTGCTGATATTATATATTTCGATTTAAAACATCTCATAACTTTAAATGCTTTTACCTTAGCTAGTTTGTCTAATGCTAATAAGTGCGGTTGGCATATTGTATATAATTATGCATGTTTTGTTGACTACAGAAACCTTAGGGGCCACTAAGACCAGTAAGTGTAAATCGAAGGCCATAACCTTAGAAAGATATATGTTTTCATACGATCTAGAAAATATGTGTAATTTACTAGCCAATTTGCAGAACACATAGCATAGGGTAGTTGGTCTAGAAATTACACGCTATCGAACCTTATCAAAGTTACAGGATGATAAAAAAGATGACTCGTCTGAAGTGGATATAGACGATATCATTGAACTATGTTGTTAAGTACTCTTAGCAGGATGTGGCAATTTCAGCTAAGAAACTTGCAATATTATTTATGACTGTATATTTTTTTTTATCATACAATAATACTGGCTAACTTTAATTTCTATCTATGATCTGATTACGAGGTAACCTCTTCCAGCCTTGGTCCTCCGATCACATAGTCTGGCTACAGATATGTCTGGAGATGTAAATCGCTAGTCTGAATATATTGGTTATTTTTTTTCATATTTTTTTCCTGACCATGAGCCATATAATTGCAATTAGTAGCAAGGTAAGTATGGAATATATTATCATTGGCATTATTGAGGAACCCACAATGATAGAGACAGTTGTTAGTAAAGGCTTGGCTTCTGCACCATCTACAAAAAATATTTGGGAGAGTAGAGGATTAAGAACAGAAAGTTGTGGTTCTTTTGGAACCTGTTTACTTACTCTTTCTTTCGTATCATTTGTAAGGGGAGGCTCATACTCAGCTAATCTTTCTGAGACTATTTCATTATCTTTCTTTAATACTAAAACTCGAAGGTGAGAATTTTCCTCCATCAAATTTGATTGCGCCGAATATAATCTATCTAATTCCTGTTTATATATAATATCTGTTGTCTCGATCCTCTTTTCTATATATTCTATTTCGTGTTTTTTTGAATTTAAATCCTCCTTTACCCATCTCAATTCAAGCCTGAGAGAATCGATTTCAGATAAGTTTATTTGGGCTAGCTCCTCTAGTAAGCCTTCTACTATATTCGAACCTTGGGATATAGGCGGTGGGGAACCCACTCATTCTAGTTCTAGGTACTT